ATCCCAGCACCCATTTCACCAGGATCTCCATACATTCCAGTCATAACATACACAATGGCTTGCCCAATGGTAATAATCATCCCAAATACTAAAACAAGAGAAAAAGCAAATCCTTTAAAAAAAAAACTGCCGAAATCACCTACCAAAGAAATCTCACATCTAGTATCACTTAGGCAGGCTGCTTTCCCAAGAATAAAAATATGCTTATTAATTTTAATTGGAACAGTGCTTACATTTCTGAGCTCCATTGAACAAGGCTCTGTCTTTTGGAGTATCACCGACTTCAATGATCTTCGCCCCAGCTAGCAGCTGCATGATCAAACCAGATGTCACAATGGGTGAAATACCTAATTCCATCAAAGTACCTGAACAGGAAGAAAAATTAATACAATTGCCATTCAAGCATCTCTCCTAAAGAATTATACTCTGAGTATATTAGGTCTGTTGAAAGGTTTCTGACCTATAAGGAATGTTTCTCATAACGCTTCCAACATGTATATTCCAGTACAGGTATGATCAAAACAAAGACCATCATCTCCTCACAAAACAAGACTGCTGTGTTAAAATCTGTAATTTTGAAGGCAGCACGAAGAACCTATGTAGCTTTTCACTTCAAGTATTTTTGTGAAACCATGCTAACACTAAAGGTCAATGCACAGCAAAGCTCAGCTTTTTGGCATATCATATCAAGGAACCTTTCACTGGAAAGCATCTTGTCCCCGGTTGTTTACTCTGTCAGTGCTTCAACTGTCACATTTTCCAAAACTTTGATTTTGAAGACCACAAGAAAGATGCTGCAGATCCACAGTGGCTGATAACACCACTCTTGGAATCACCGACTCTAAAGAGCACAGAAGTTTAGGATTAAACAAGGTCTTCACAAAACAAGCACATGTCATTAAGATGCTCTACTCTGCCAATTCACTTGCTGGCGCAATGTCACCCAGGTATCAACTTCCAACTGTATACAACTCGAACGGGGCAATATAATTTCATAAAACACTACTGCTGCAGCACACAGGTGTATATTCCAGAAAACCTGCCTGGTTTTCCCTCCCAATCCCTTCATTTGGTGTAGTAAGAACTGGGGCACCACTCACTTTGCAGGTGCATCCGTCTAAGGATGCAAGCAACACCACAACTACCACTTGACACTCTAATTTAGAAATATTCTCACCAAGGTCTTGTTCAAGTATTGATACCTCCTTGAGTTATGTTATAACGCAGTATGGGAGCAGAACTGAATGTGCATAAAACAATTAAACTCAGGGAAATAGCCCGCCTCTTGCCTGTACAATATACTCTCCCATCTCAACACAAAAACATTCTTTCACATCATCTTTTTGGAGCAATGGCATTATAGAGAGATTACTTTTTGAAATTTAATTTGTCCTTCAGCTAATACCAGAAAATTTTCTCCTACCTGAAGATGTTGAAAACGTAAAAAACCAAAACGTTGCAAATCTGGATGAAAATTAAGAAACTAGAACTACCAAGTGACAAAACTCTCCACATTTCCCAAGCTGGAACATTAAAGAAAAATAGTTTGGGTAAGGTCACGTTTTACAAGTTTAATATTCAATTAAGCCAGATGAAATTACTTCATCACCATCTTTTATGTGGTCACTCAAGGGACATAAATAATGCACGTTTTTTCTGATGTTAAGTCACAATACCCACCAGGGAGATTCAAAAGAGAATCAGCTTACAATTCTTTTCAATTCTGTACATTTAAGTGGAACTCTGCTCTCATGTGTAGTACAGTGGTGTTCCATCACAAAATTACCAAGATAGTTAGTAATAAAAAACTATTTAGCCACTGCAGACTTGTAAAGTCTCAACACGAACCAGTGACAGGGGAAGCTTGGTCTGTACGGTCATATGGAAGATGAAAAGAAGTAGATATCGTATATCCATAGCCGATCAGCCTAGAGGCTTATCTATCCTCACACCCCACCTCTGAAAGGGGCCCCTTCTTTGGGGGAAGGATCATTCTGTATTTCCCTTTTCCCATCTATCAGTCATTTATACAGAAATGGCTTCTGGCAACTTCTGCCCGTAATTTATTCAGAAACTTTGAGTTACATGTGCTGCTTAATAACACCATTGGCTGCCCCTTCCCTCTTACAGTGCAAGGAAAAAGTGACTATCCATTCCCTGCTGTCGTGGTTTAACCCCAGCAGATAGTAGTAGTAGTAGTAGTAATAGTAATATACAAAGCAAGTGATGCACAATGCGATGGCTCACCGCTCGCCAACCGATGCCCAGCCCGTCCCCAAGCAGCGATCGCTGCCCCCCGGCCAACTCCCCCAGTTTATATACTGGTGTCCTGGTTTCAGCTGGGATAGAGTTAATTTCCTTCTTGATAGCCGGTATAGGGCTGTGTTTTGGGTTTAGGATGAGAACAATATCGATGATACACTGATGTTTTGGTTTTTGCTAAATAGTACTAAGTAGTTGCTAAGTGGCGCTCACACTGGTCAAGGACTTTTCAGCTTCCCCTGCTCTGCCAGGTACACAAGAAGCTGGGAGGGGGCACAGCCAGGACAGCTGACCCAGACTGGCCAAGGGGCTATTCCATACCATATGACATCACGCTTAGTATATGAGTGGGGGGAGTTGGCCGGGGGAGGGGCAATGATCGCTGCTTGGGGGACGTGCTGGGCATTGATTGGCAGGTGGTGAGCAATTGTACAGTGTATTGCTTGCTTTGTATTACCATTGTACTATTATTATTTGTTTTTATTGTTATTATTACTATTACTACTGTTCTATTTTTATTTTGCTTTAGTTATTAAACTGTTCTTATCTCAACCCACGAGTTTTCCCTTTTTGCCCCTTCTGATTCTCTCCCCCATCCCACCAGTGGGGGAGTGAGCGAGCGGCTGCGTGACGCTTAGTTGCTAGCTGGGGTTAAACCATGACAACTGGGCATGACGTCATACCGTATGGAACAGCCCTTTGGCCAGTCTGGGTCAGCTGTCCTGGCTGTGCCCCCTCCCAGCTTCTTGTGCACCGGGCAGAGCATGGGAAGCTGAAAAGTCCTTGACCGGTGCGAGCACTGCTGAGCAACAACTAAACCATCACTGTGCTATCAACATTATTCTCATCCCACATCCCAAACACAGCACTGCACCAGCTACTAGGAAGAAAATTAACTCTATCCCAGCTGAAACCAGGACACCTATCCACTTTTTTTCCAGAGATGAAGACTTAAAAGACATCTGGGATATGCACATTTCATGGCAAAGAATCCTTTTTTTTTTTTTGTAGGATCTCTTTCTATAGATTAATATCTACCTTAAGATTCTCCCTGGTACCTTTTCCTGAGTGGTTTTCTTTTAGTTCCACTATATCCTTTGTGGCATGGTAGATTAGAACTGCATGCAATATTCAATTTGTGGCACCTTATAGATTTGTACAGGCATTTCTTCTGATGTTTTCAACCAGTTCTTAAGCCATTAGGTGTTCTCTTTTATCCCGCAATAGCTTAATTTCCTGAAGAGCCTTTAATAAGTAATCTGAATTTAACAAAGGGTTTTTGAGCACCTCCCCTGTTGTCTGGAGTCATCTTGTCATTTCTGCCTAACTACCAGAGTCCTCATTTCAGTTCCAATTTTTTAAAAAATTTAAGCATTATTGCACAATTATTTTTTTCTTTTTTTTTTTTTTTTAGTGTTTTCCCTGCTACCAAAATGTAAAATGTGAAAGCATTAAAGTCATTATTATAATGTGGTTCTCTCATACTTGCATCCTACAGTCTACACACCATGTTAAATATCATGTCATCTCTCACAGAAACCTCTATTTCTCCAACAGCAAGAAAATTAGGATCTCAAAAACCTTAGTCTTTACCTTACATCCTCCAATGACATCTAGTCAGTTGACTTAGGCGTAAGTTAACTTTCCCACTTGGGCTTTTTGTTGCCTTTACAGTCTCTCTAGTCTTTTCTTGGCCACTGTGACCATTCTGTCTCAGTAGTGGATAGCTTATTTTGCATATTGTCACACACTGCTACTGAGTTTTTACAGGCACATTCTGCAGTAGTTTGAAGCAGCTAACTTATTTACCTTAATTTATTACCTTCATTGGTGTGACAAAATTTGCCATTCCTAAATAATTTGTACCTTCACATTAGAGGGTTCCAACGCTTTTCTTACTTCCAGCCAATTTTCCATGATACAGATGAGGTCACTGTCCTCATGTAGAGTCACACATGCCATGTCACCCATCTTCAGTTTTAGATTTCTAGCATTAGTTTAAGTCATCTTATACATTTGATTGGTATCCACTTGTCTATTCTAAAATAAGTTAGTTTGGTTTTGCTTAACTGTAAGCCTAATCATCTCTGCCCTTAGCTTTCCCACCTATAAAATTACTTACCCATAATGTTGCCAAAATATGATGAGGTGTAACTGACTTGCACACCTAAGGTATTTTCTACTCAATACTCTCGTACTGCACATTAGTGCTGTTTATAAGTGGTGGGGCAGAAGGTTCCCTGTCCCATATATTAATCAGAAAGAGACAGCTCTACAATTCAAAACAGAATCATCCCAAAACTTGAGAATCAAGATTAATGTCATGTGCACATCAAAGGAAACCCCATTCCTGAGATGAAGGACTCAAGCATCAGTGAATTTTAATTATAGCTACAAGTGTTTCAACATGACATCTGGGTTGTATGAAATTTATCAGCTAACTGTTTTTCTCCTGGTCTGTTTATACCGCTACAAAACAGAGAAAGGAATAATCTACTAACCTCTGTTTGACGCAAGAATGACTCGCATCCAATAGAACGGATCTGCAGAATCCGATGACATGATTCCGAACAAAGGTATCTGTCAAAGTGCACAGCGGCGTTAAGCAGATATACAAAGAAAGCTTGCATTAATCCAAAAATCTTAATGTCCAATGATTCAACTGTTGTACTGTTTAATATAATTTATTCCAACTTTTTTTTAAATTAAACCAGAGCATACCATAACAGATATACTGACACCATCTATTTTAATCCTCCAACTGGGCTATGACTCAGAGGACTAAACTATGTAAACCAAGACCCTTCTACAGGAAAAAGCAGAAACCCCTAGAAAGTACAGTCAGTGCACATAAACCAGATTATTGAAGTTAAATATGTAAATGCCTGACATATATGGTTCTGGAATACTACAACCCCCCCCAGAAGAACAGAAAAACCATAAAATAAATAGGTTAGCTACCACAAATCTTTAACAGAACAGGGAAAAATATTACATGATATTCCATTACTTATTTCATCAAAATTTTTGCAGCCATTTTGAGTTTAAAAAAAAAAATTCCACACAGGGAAAACTGTAGCAAAATGTCTTTGAGAAGACAGAAGAAAGCGAGTTTTTTATTTTTTTAAATGGTCCTAAACTGAATTTCTTCTCAGTACCAATTAAAGATACAGCATAAACTACAATGTAAATACCTTCCTCCAGCAAGTTTAAATATTCAAATTCTACAGCTGGGAATATGTTTTCAAATATCCCATACAGAACTGTCAAAGTTAGCCAAGTTTATACAAAACCTCCAGTGTTCTACACGTCAATACTGAGGGATTTTGAGCTCTTTAAAACTCTTCTTAATCACAAAAGCAGTAGACAAGGAATCCAGGCAATCTTATAGATTAATTCCTGAAAACTCTAGCCTGTACCATCTGATTTCTGTTAAACTACTATAATCTTTTGTATAGATTCAAAATCTTAATTATGCATATATCCAGCAGTAAGGAAACATATATAACATATTCTTGTAGCTCTAGTATCATTCCTGCCTCCTACTTCCAAAAAAAACCAGGTAGGTACAAGAGCTGGGTTTTAGCCTTTCAACAAACCTTCAGAGTTGCAAACAAAAATTATTAAACTACTGTTCCAGAGTCTGGAATGGGTAAGTTAATGAATATAATCTAAAAAGCCTGTTTTTGAAGATGTACGGTTCATTTTAAACATTCTCAGGGGTCTAGAAGTTCTCAAAAATATTTATCAAGTAATATATGGATTCTCATTTTCTGCAATATCTAAGTATTCTTAAAAAAAAAAAAAAAAACAACAAAAACAACCAAACAAAAAAAACCCCACAACACTATCTGTTTACAACCCAGGTACAGGTTCTAGAAACTCCTGCAACTGTGAGTAATAAAGATCACACAAATGTTTACAAAGACCTGTGTTTTGGAGGGGTTTTAGCTAACATCTTTGTCAGTATATTCACAAAAAACAAGTTCTAAATGTCAACTTAAACACCTCAGAAAAACTTTTTTCTGCAATCTTTACAACCTGTCAGCTTGTTCAAGAGAAATCAAGTAAAAACAGTCACTTTATTTCACTTTCAAACTTGTTACTGCTAAAACTTAAATTTATCTATGAACAGAGGATAAAGAATGCATAATATTGCTCAGTTTGTTTACTCAATGAATAATTAGCCTGGCTGTTTACCCTGCAGCCAGCATCATCATTTGATAGGACCTTTCATATAACAAGAAAAACACATTATGTATTTTAGACTAAATAGAAAGCATTAGTTTCCGAAATCATATACAACCAATAATAAAGACTATTTCGGAGAATCAGGTTTCTTTAACTCAACTTTAAATACTTAAGCATAAAAATACATAACTGAAACCAGTAGGTCAACATGAAACAAGAACTTCTCATACTTTTAGCATTCTATTTTACATGTACAGAACACACATTTTCTGAAACACAGAAAACATCAATACCTACCTGGCAGCATACTAAGAAAATGAAGAGCGTGATAGCCGTCCATAGTACCTTCTCTCTGAACTGGATCTACAGAACAGATTGCAGAGAATAATGTGTTCATTGTATGTAGAATTTTCTCACGTTAGTACTAAATGCTGTATCACTCAGAATTAAATGCGAAGATATTGAACTAGAAGGCATCATTTCTCATTAGAATTTATTTTTAATGTGATTTCAGATTTTATAGAGACAGTCATGGGCTTCTGTGTAGTCAAAGAAAACTTATATGGGATCTGGCAGGCAGCATAGCTGACATTCAGTCAGCAGAATGTATTTTGCATATAGTATTCTAATATAGTCGGTATTTACAGGAAAGCAACAGTATGGCTAAAAACATGGACATACAAGAACAAACATGAAAGATTAATGCAAAAAAAATATCTTTGGTGATTAGTGCTCTAGGCTTCAACAGATTGGAGGCACTGTTTTGTAAGGCTGGAAGTTATTAAACTAAAGCACTATAAAGTTTTTAAAGAGACTTAACTGCTGTGAAGACAAGTGATAAAAACCAGAAGAACCATGAGTTCTGGTTAGCAATTCAAAATTAGAACTAAATTCTTCAAAGGGTGTTAGAGGAAGCTTAAATTCACCGTTATGTTCATGGACACAGACCACAAAATAATTTTTAAAGACTCTTTTTTTCCCTCCGAAATATTTTTATCAATGTAGATTATTTATTACTTTAAAAAGAATGTCAGCTCAATGATCATTAGTCACTAATACACTGAAGAGAATCTCAGGGTCACAACATTTGAGGCAACTGTAACTAGAGCCAGGTGCGAGAAGAGAAGAATCGTAAGATTTAAGTTTGAACCAGACGATTACTCAAAGCATAAGACAGAAAGAAATGCACTTGAAGAGACCAGCGAGAGCCAAGATGCAGCGTTACGTTCAAGTTCCCACCTCTCCTCCATGGACTGTAAACACTAGGATAAGTGCGTTCACTGTAGGCAAGAGTACAGCAGCTACTAAAACGTGACATGAACTAACATGTAAGATAGATACAGCAGAAACACTAGCTTTCTGCCTCCAACCACTGAATCTGCCTGTAGAGAAGTCACAAGAAAAAGGATTAGTGCCTGGTTTTGTAGGTACTGAACACCCACAAACCAGAAACTGCAAAATGACACAGCAGCACAGCTTCTCAAGCAAAAGAAAACCCAGAAGTAGCCTGTATCTTTGTAAGTGAAATCACGCACTTACTTAGAAGCAAAATAATCCCAGTAATTTAATCTATTTACTGATACCGCCTCACTCTTTTAAAAGAGGCCAGATGCTAAAAATACTTACAGTACAAAGTTAAAAAAAAGAAAAATAGTGACAGCAGCAAATAAATCCAGTGTCTTGTGTTAGGCTTTATGCAGCCCTGACCCACTTTACCAAGTGCTGTTTGAATTCTACAACTCAGATTTTAAGTACAGACTTCTAAAAAGAAAAACGCTTCACCAAATTGTCTCTGCAGCCCAATAGTTAACCTTAGCTTCTGAGGTCAAGCTCTACAACTGCTCTGGCTCTCTCTGTAACTGTGGTGAGTATGAGCATTAGAGAAATTCTGCATCACCCAAATCACATTTATTCATGAGGAAAACAGTCTCTATGATTCAAAAAGACAAAAAAGAAAAAGGAGGCATCCAAGTCCATATGCCAGGAACAGCAAATATAGACTGGTACCAAAATATTCCAGCCACAAATGATAACAAGCACAGGGACAGTACATTTCCTCATCTCGTCAGATTCAATTGGACATGTTATTCCTCTGACATTTTTCTTAAAACTTGTGAAAATAAAGGGACTTAAGCATCATCTTCTTGGTGTTCTGACGAGTGTGTTCTACTCAGAAAAAACTGCGCATATGAGGGAAATATGAGCCGATACTACTAACTACAAAAAGTAGCAATTGCTTCTGTTAATCAAGTTGGCCAGAAAAAGCCCACTTCTCTCATCAACAATAATGGCAAAATGACTCAATGACAGCCAAACTGAATCAAAACTTCATCTTCACTTAACAATCAATAAAAGCTTAGAAAAAATATCTTCATTTCTTGTCCTGGCCTTAACCAACCCACTAAAACCATTACTAATGATGTCTGCCAGTGATAGCTTGCAAGAAAACAATAAATAACGAGAATTAGAGTTATACTGAATGACCTAGGTCACTTGATAGACTACACACAAGCAAGGAATATAACTTAAAGTGGTCAAAGGGCTCTTCAGTCTAGGAAAAGATGTTCCCAATTATATTTTCACTTCAAATTTGTACAACGCTGGCAACTGGCAGTCATTGCCTAGACAGCGACCTAGATAGTAATAAAGACAAAGTGACCCAAATAGCGAGGACAGGAATCTCGACACTCCTCTAGGCATCCTTCCTCTGTTGATGGAGGACGTGGGCAGATCAAGCCCCTCTTCCTCTCTGGCAAATAGAAAGGGAGGAGGAAAAAAACCAAGAGAAGAATCACAACTGTCGATGAGCTTTACAGAAACATCAATATCTGTAGATTTGTCCTAGATTCCTCTTCCCATCCACTTCACTAGACAAAAATGGGACGGACGTAACCAACTGATCACAGACACGCCATAAATCAGCACCAGAAGATTGCACTAAGGTTCACCGCTGCAGGAACAAAGATGGGTACCTTCCACCCAGATCTGGTGCATCCAAATCCTAGCACAGGGTCTGGCTCTGGAAATTCCTGCTCTGAAGATGCCTTTGTCTGACCCAAATAATTTGTTTGGAAACCTGTCCCAAGAGTGAAAGATGCTGGAAAGCAACAAGGAAAGACAGATGGAGCAAAGAACCAGGGGATATATCCCAATCTTTTTAAAAATCAGTTCCAGAGGGGAATAATCAGCAGTTTTTACTGTATCTTCTCCATTCAATCCAGCAGGCTCAGCTATGGTTACTGGCACAAACACCTCTGCATCCAGTCCTAACCTTCAGGAAGCTCTCATCAACAAAAGAGGATTCTCTCGGACGGTGTCATGTTCCCAGCTATGCGTTTCCTTTTAAGAATATAAAAATCAACATTTAGCTCCTAAGGAATTTTCATGCCAGTCATGACAATGAATATTAGGTAAATTTGTTACTCTAATTAGGACCTCTGTCACCTAGGCAATATGTGCTTGCTTGAGTTTTGGAAGTAAAAAACAGGGGGTTTCTTTTTTATTGGCAAGGCAGGTCTCTTTCTGATCTGCCAAAATTAATAAATTTTAATCTAGAAAATGTGCCGAGAAATGGGAGGAGTTTCTAGGGCTAGGGGAATAGAGAGATCAGCTGTAAATTAACTCAGTTAACTGATTTCAGAACAAAGAAAAGTGTCACATCCAGCAGGTGAACAGGGAGCAATTACCTGAACTTTATCACAGATCACTTTCCCACTTCATCAAGGTGAATCACAGCTATGGGAGCAGAGAATATTTTGTGGGAAAGGAAGAACTAAATTTGAGGTTCCTGAATTACAGCACAAGCCTTTTCAAAGTAATATATAAGCCAGCTCAAAGCCCAGAGTTGTGGCCAATACTCAACAGCAACACTGGTATCCACAAAGATAACGCTGGTATCCACAGTGGGAAAGAAAAGCCTGAAAACTCTGTTGTAGTATATTAAAACAGATCCAATTATATGGAGCTGAAACTAAATAAACTTAGTCTAGAGATGAGACTTTTTTAAAAAAAATTAGTTAGCATAATTACCGAGTGGAACATCTTACCAGAAGGATGTTAAGAATTCATCATCATGGTAATCTTTTACCTGAACATGGATTCCACCTCCTCCAAAAAATATGTCCTACTTTAGGGCCCACTGTCTGTATCTATATTGGAGTGTGGAATTGAATATCACAATATTCTCTTCTCTTTGAGCCAATAAAAGTAAGGACACAATGTGGCACTCACTTTTCTTTCCGGTTTCTGGATTTCAGGTAACACTGCACAGAATGGCTTAATAACTTCTAAAAATTTTACTGTTCCAGAAAAACAGACAGACACAAAAGAAGAGAGAAAAATATATTAATGAACCTTCACGAATTTATAAAACATCATACAACTTTATTTAACTTCTATGGGAAGAAAAATAAGTAACACTTCATAAGTGAATCACTTCATCAACACACTCTAATTCAATGTCTGAAAACTAATGGCTTCTTCTTAAAACAGTTGAAAACAGGGCAAAAGTGTGAAAGAGAATTCTTGTTCTAATCAGATTTGGCCCATCCCTTTTTCCACAACTGGAATAATTTTAGATAAGAAACAGCACTGTATATATCACCAGAAGTGAACTAAATTGTATTCCATCTAAAAATAAATGACCCAGTATCAGCTGTGCTAGTTAAACACACAAACAAAGGACACTGACATCAAAAAGTATCCATGTAGAGATGAGTATCTTGTGTTTTACAGAAGTATTTACGTGAGAAAATAATTCGATCACTAAAATATGTTTAGAAATCGTAATTTCAATCACTGCAACACTTATTCTGATCTGAACTTTGGGGGATTTTATTTTAACTTTTGACACATCTCTCTTCACAGTTTCTCCTTTAAAAACACAGAAAGGCTCAATAATTTGAACTCTTTTTCTGAGGGGGAAAAAAAAAGAAAATCAAAGCACATCTGCTTGGTGGGGAATTCATCCTCCAAAACTTGTACACTATCCCCAGCCCCAACACATTCGGATAGCCATAGAAAACGATCATCAGCACCTCTTCAAAGAAAATGCATTTATTACGCTGCAAGCCAAGTTAAGTAACGTTTTAGTCGAAATGCCATGTTTACTTCTGCACTTTGCTGTGACGTATTTCTCCTTTATTTATTCCAAGCCCTCAGACAGCTCATCAGAAGATGCATCTGGCTCCACAGAAGGCGGCACGGCTCCCATGTTAAAATATTAAAGCCAAAGGGGGGGGAAAAAAACCCATAACCCAGCACAAAGCGGTGCCAAGCGGTGACTCGTCTCACCCTCTGCCCGGCAGCGAGGAAACCTGCCCGGGAGGAGGGTGCCCCGCTGCCGCCGCCTCTCCGGCCT